CTGTTCCCCGCTCCCACTCTCTTCCCACCAGCCTTGCCTTTCACTGCACCTCGTTCTCTGCCTCTCCCATCCCCCCCTCTATCTCTCTCTCCTCTCACTCTCTGTGTCCTTATCAGTCTTTATCAGTCTTCATGATGCGGCGGGGTGGGAGTCAATGGTTGACTTAGTGGAGGGTCAGTTTAGTATTTATCAAGCTTTCGTTTCAGTCAAGTGTTTCTGGCTCGGTTCTGGGTTTTTATCTTATCTTTGAGGGTAAATGACTGTCATATTCTCAGATATCCAATTTATGAGATCAGATGGCAAATGTTGCAAACTTGCGCAACCTGCTTTCGTTCTTTTTGGGCGACATGCGGACGAATCGGGGTACATTATGTGAATCATCGTGACATTCCTATTGATACATTTCGGAGTTGGGTCTGAATTCTTTTTTGTTTCCAATTTAAATTTCCCTGTCAACAACAATGTGACGGAATGGCGGTCTAGCGGTGTCTGCGATGATTTCGAACCGCATTCAGGGTCAGTCCGGTCTACTCAAAAGATAATATCCTTCACTCGAGTTCAGGGGAATCTACCTGCCGAGGGGCCTCTCAAAAGTTTCTCGAGGCTACGCTGATAGTAACGCCTGCGACTTGCTGGGTAGGCCAGCCCGGCAGACACCTGTGTGGAATCGATGGCCAAGCCCTGATCGGCCAAGAGAAAAATTGAAATAATTGAACAGTTTTGATCTTGATTTGGTCTCAACGGGGTCTCTATGACAAAAACTTCAATGAAATCCTAAATTAGGTATACCAGGATGGCTGATTATCCCGCGCACTTTTGTAGTCCATGTTGTAGTAAGTGTACCACCGCATGCAGGCGGGCGGGCGGGGGTGGGGTTCGGTAGGGAGCCTGGAGCTTCCTTGGGTTCGACTATCGTCGCTGACCACAGCGCCTTACGCCAAGAATTAGCTAAATGAGCTAATGCATTTGCTAATATGACCTTAGATTAAAATATTAGCTCTCCTATAAATTCTTAGCCAAGAGAGCTAACATATTAGCTTTCACAAGTAGTTAGTTTCTTTACTTTGCAGACAACTGTCATGGCTAAATTTGTTTTAGCTCTCTTAGCTAATAATTCCCTAGGAGAGCTAATATTCTTAAAGGCCGCATATTAGCGAATGCATTAGCTAATTTAGCTGATCCTTTTTTCCCCGTGCGAGTAGGCGACCCGCCCGCACGTGTGCATGCGGTACAGAATAACTGCGAAAGTGCGGGGCGTGAATCAGCCACCTGGTATATGAAATGCTATGGAACTGGTCATGAGCGAGCACACACCGACACGTCCGTGCGTCCCGAGTGCCTTACATAGCCTTACATAGGGAGTTAGGCTAGTCTTTTGGGAAGGCGAAACAGATAGGGAAAGTCTTTTCGGGCAGCAAAACACGAGGGGGTTTTCACTCGAGATTTCCGTGCACACAGTATTTCGTA